TGTCTGACGCGTCTGCCTCCGCGACCCGAAAGGAGAAGCGGCGATGGAAGATGAAGATGATGAAGATGACACCAGTCGATGACATACTGACATCACAGTCTTACTACGGAGTACACGAAACGTTTTGCCACTTTTAAGTCATTATGAGTGATGCGATGACAGGTTTTCACCATAAATTAAGCACTGGCTTTTTCATGGCCCTTGCCACTACCTGATCAACTGGTGAAACATCGCAAATGGTTAGTTTTTCTGGTCGTTGTTCTCTCAGGTGGTATGATGTGGTCTTGAGCAGTCAAGAGTGTAAAAGTATTTATCGAAACTGAAGCATTAAAGAACTGAGCACCTTTACATTTAGTGTACTCGGTGACTATCATCGACAGAAATTATATGCTGGCCTTTGATCATCTTTCAATAATGATCTTCTATTCAAATTATATCGAATATGGAAAACGAAGCTTCTATAGCTTCTCTCTTGTTTTCTGCTTTGATTAGCGAGCTTACTTAATAACTGACCTGATAACAAAATATATCAACTATCTTCTATATTCTAAGGCATAATTTTGTCTCCTCTGAAAAAAAACTATGAAATGCTTTCAATTACAATGTAAGTTCCCTAACAGTGACGACTATATGACTTTGCAGTCTGGGCAGTTAATGTGGTATCCGGTGAAAACAATGTTTGAAAATTTCGCAGACATCTCGAACAGTATCTTTGTATTTTTAGAGCTTGTCTTCGACGAAAGCTACAAGGTGTGCGCTTTTACAGTCAATGATTGAACTTATTTTAATCTTGCAACATTTTCCCACAAAACTGTTAAACTATGATCAACCCATCTCATGTGAGATAATGGGCCAATTTATACGATTTGTATTATACATGTTTAACAGAAGACGTTTACTCGAAATAGAGCACAGTAACGATTTTCGACTGAATACAGAAAACGACTTTTCAATACATGATTATTACCCAATATTTGCCGTGAACATCTTTGCATTTCAGTTCAACTAAGAAATCATTTATGACCGAGAACATTACCTAAAACCAACAACAACCTGTCCTGGAAGAAACCCACACGAAAACGAGGATGAAAGGTATCATTATCATAAATTCGTAAACATCAAAATATGCTCGTACTCAAATGTATGCCGGATAGCGCATAACACCTTTAAGAGGGAGGTGCAATACGCGTGAAATCTGGTCTTAGAGAAGTTATGCGTCATCTGGCATACAAACATATTTTGATTTTATATGGTAGTATGTATATGCATATGGTAGTATACAAGGAGTAACAGTTCTAGAAGAAACATTGTTCGTAACAAGCACGAAATGGCTTTGGTGAAAGAAATCACACGAGGTGTATCTGGCATTGCAAGTACTTGAATACCAGAAAACTGAGACCTGCATAAACGACTCCCTCTCCATACAACTAAAAGCAACGAGACGGTGCAATAACCGTTAAATCTTTGAGGAATTATGCAGTTATCTATCATGATAAGTAATTTATATGAAATTGGTTGCAAACCGTCTTATACTTAAAGTAAAAATCGACAGGCAATGTAGCGACACGTGTATAAAAACGTCACATGTCAAAAAAATTATTTGTTAAAACAACGAACAGCGCGCAAATGAAAATGAACATGCAATTTTCTAGCAAAAAATATGCTGTTGAAAGCCAGCATGTGCAGAGGCAATTTAAGTCTTTGTCTAAAAAGGGAATGCAGCACACCAACTTAAAACAAGCAATAATGCTTTGTCCGATTTATTGCGGCCTGTCGGCTTACCGTTCAGCATTCGTGCAAATGCAACTGCAGCGCGGTGTACATATAATTACTGTACGTTCCTATTTAATTTTATGCCCTTTATGAAGGGTTGACTTGATCTTTTACATAGGAACTTTGACGTTCAAAAGTACCTAGCTCATCGGCAACGGCAAAGCAATTCAATCTCCCGCTTAAAATTTGTCTATAATATTTACAAGATGAGACAATACGTTCAGATCAATAAAGAGAACCACCGAAAAAGCTAAAACCATAACTGCAAAGCGCTCTAAGCCAATGGGAAGGAAGGCACCCCTCGATGAGTCGAATACAATTTTATGTGTCTTCTGTACAGAACCATTTGCTATAAATGTTGTTTCATGCTGTTTATAAACTTACCAATGGAGGAGATGGATGAATAATGCTCATCCTTTCTGGGAAGAAATCAAACTTATTAATTCGCATCGGCATAAGTAGTAGACTAAAGTGCTATAGGCTGTAAGGAGTGACAATTCGTCCTTCGCGATGACTGAATGAACGATTTCTGAGATGTTTCATGTTTCTTGTCAAATAACGGAACATAGTTTTGCTATCAGAGAAGAAGCTGAGACCATATCAGCCTCGACCCTACTCAAACCGAGTGTTGTGAAAATTCTACAATAAATTGTTGTTTAAGACACAATGGTTTTTTGATCATACTGTAGATTTACATCGAGAAGAAGACACTGGCGTTTCTTACTATCCTTGGCAGAACGGCAAACATCGTTGTTAAGCTGAACAGTAATGTAAATGTAGGAGAAAAGAAATAAACGGTTAAAAATATTTTCAAAAAATCACCACTGCACGAGTAGTGCGATCCGTAGATTGATTCACTGTGTATGGAAAGAACCTGACTTGAAAATCTTGAGACAAGCATCACCGCAAATTCGTTTTGAAAACCAAGTGCATATGAAAAGGCTATTATACTTTTTCGTACCCGTTTCTGTCCGTAAGCTCGACTCTATTTGCACCGCTGCCGTCGTGGGCATAACAGCTGTGGACGGTCATGTCGTAGTCAGTCGAAGCTGAAACTGAGAAGGTCAGTGTTTCACGAAGCTATCGACTAACCATACTGCTTACACGCGCCGCTTTTGCTCTTGGGGCCTCTGACCACTAGTGTGATAGGATCGCCGATCTTCAGTGACCGATTGACCTTCGGCTTGCTTGTTCCGCGGCCTTCGAGAATCTCCATCTGCACATCCGACCTGAGTTCCCGACTGTCACCGGCATTGACCGGGAAGTTCGTCGCTTGCATCGTTCTGAAACAACACAACTTTATACCGGCACATCGTTCGCAGCTACCGTTACTGAATAATGACCGTCTGTTCGGGACCGGTGTAGCTCAGACGTCGCTGCGACACGTTCTTCAGGGGACTTTCGTCACAGACAAACAAATAGCGCCGGTCAATTGCAGTTTGTGTCACTTTATCGAACTGCACATAAACCTCATTTTCGAGATGACTGATTTGCTGAAACGAAACAAAAGTTAAGACTAACGATAACGGTAATTCAGTTTCATTCTTTAACCTTTAGTTTAACTTTATACCGTAGTTGCGTAAAGACATCCACACACAAATATCTAAATATGCAAAATAATGCGGATGAACTACAAAACAGAAATAGGTTCCTCTGTAAATACGATAGAGCATAGGCGACTGCGGTAAGATACACTATCCGGTATCCGTATCAAAAAAGCACTTATCTGCAGCCCGGTTACGACAGGCTACCCGGACACCCTGGTATTACGCAACATGCCTTTTCTGAAGGGCAATCCTTCAGTCACGTGAAAGTGCTATAATTGATAAGGACGAGTCAAAGCGTGATCCTTCAATAAAGGAGTCTCTCCATATTTTGGCAATGAAAAATCATATATGCAATGAATATTTCTTCTCGGTTATGCCGAGTGAAAGCTGCGAGTGAGCGGGGGGCCATCGTGAACTGAATAAATAAATTTTGAATATATATTATAAGGCATATAGAGCCATTTATAGGTTTCAGTTTGGCAGACACGAGGTGCACTGGATCAGGAGGATTCTTGCAGAATTACTTCTCTGGATGATAATCTTCCCTTTTACTTCATTTATACTGCTACTTCATTCAACGTATCGTATGACTAAACAAACTATTGTATTCTGTGTGATATGCAAGAAATGCTAATTCGCGCTTGTAGTGATCTTTTAAAAAAACGCCAGAAAACAACATAATCTGCCTACATTTTAATGCTCAACTGAGGGCCTGAAAGCGACATGGGAATCTGCAATCGTAGACAAAGACAGTGGCTGCTTGCCATTTGTCAACGGTATCAAAATCCATACACAGTGCTGCACTGCTCTGTATTCTCTGTGTGGAGTGAAGATTAGAGAGACCCCAACAATAGTTCTTCAAGGATGGCACTTAGAATAATCTGCCGAGCAATCACTCGCCAAAAGATGCTTGAGAGAGAAGATGAGAATAACGTCGACTTGCGTTCATGGTGCTCTCAAAACGAGGGCAAGTTAAGTGAATTATTAAGGAGTTTTATATCGACAGAGAACTCTAGCTGTGCCTCTCCTAATGGTAAATTTCCCATAGCCTCAGAATTTACGGGTATCTAGTAAATATAAGTTTTATATTCATTTTCACACGCACATATCTTTAAGAAAGCGCAAAAGCGCGATTTCTAACCGGCTTCAGCAGATGAAGAAACAGCCGAACACCTGAGTCATAAAGTCTACCCGGGGAACTAGTTTCGATTATAAACGTGAGAGTTGGATATTCAACAAGAGTTCAATTCTTACTTCAAGTAGAGACCGCAAGATTGCTCTTGTATAGGACAAAGTTTTGAACATATTTCGGCCACAAGCTGATTTTACTCGAAATCACGAGATTTCGTAAGAGGACTAACTTTGCAGTGCCATATTTAAAATGGTACAATAGGCAGAAGACAGAATTAAATCAAGAGGATTTAATAATAAAGAAGATCGGGCGGTGTGGCGCAAAGGAATTTCGTCCACTGAGCTTTTCTACTTGGCTGAAAACCGGAACCATTTTAAAGTCTCTGAAACAGCAGTCCACTGAATGAAAACAATATTTCGAATGAATGCATCCGTGAAGGAATTAATTATTCCATAAATGAATATACTCAAAATAGTTGGACTATTGCCAACAAGCACCCGATTTCTGAACTACTGAAGATGGAAGCTATGCTACTTTGGTGTCGACATCACGAAGAGCGCTCAAACCGGGGTTAATATTCTGACAGAACCCAACCCTGGTTAACAGAATCATTGAATGGAAGCCTGTTAGCGGAAGAGAGACAATCCTCCAACCGACGCTACAACAAAGTTCATCAAAGTCCTGACAAACCTTTGACATTGTTACAGGTCAATGCACCAAATTTGGAGGCAGAATATGAGACCCTCCTTGAGGAAGTGCAGTATACTCTGTCCGAAGTGCCGAAGACAGAGTCCCTCATATTGATGGGCGATTTTAATGCGCACGTCGAAGACGCTGTAAAGTGGAACGGCGTGACTGGGAAAAAAGGCCCTAGCGACCTG